AGAAACAACACCTTCCAATTCCCTCACTCTCAAAAAAAATTAACGAGGGGACAGTCGCAAAAAAACGAGGGGACTCGCATCTGGTGCAATGCAGGAATAAAGCAACTTGCTGAGATTTTGCCGGTTCTCCTCTAGTCAGGGGCGGCGGGAGGGGTATTCCTTGGAATATCCATGATTTTGGTAAAGCAAATAAATATATATGTTAAGTGTTGGCATATTTATCTTGTATTGTGAAAGAAAATTACAAAGACAAAGAAAATAGCTTTCAGGTCCACACCAAATACTCCTTTTTGCTACAGACTTACTCCCTCTGTCCCAAAAGAATGCAATTCTGAAATAGTATCACGTTTTAGTATATCAAGTTTGATAATTATAAATAAAAAATATAAATATTTATAATATGAAATAAATATCATTAAATTAATTACGAAATGTATTTTCGTAATAAATTGATTTGGAGCTATAAATGTTAATATTATTTATTATAAATTTGGCCAAACGTGAATCACTTTAACTGGCACGCAACCCATAGTTGCATTCTTTTGGGATAGAGGTAGTATAATCCTATACATTGTTATATATTTACATTGCACAATTTTATTCACATAGAATATCCTGGTGTAACATTGAAAGCTCTAGTTTGGTTTTGGTGAATTGATGAAACCCTTACTGCTAACCTAGTTTATCAAAGTGATCATGAGATAGGTAGCACATTTCAAGTGGTGAAACAAATGAAGATCATGACATGATGATGGTGATGCCATGGTGATGATCAAGTGTTTGGACTCAAAAAGAAAAAAGAGAAAAACAAAATGCTCAAGGCAAAGGTATAAGTGGTATGAGCCATTTTGTTTCGATGATCAAAACAGTTAGCGAGTGTGATCACATTTAGATTCGATAGCCGTACTATTAAGAGGGGTGAAACTCGTATCGAAATACGGTTATCAAAGTGCCACTAGATGCTCTAACTCATTGCATATGCATTTAGGATCTAGTGGAGTGCTAACACCTTTGAAAATATTTATGAAAATATGTTAACACACATGCACAAAAGTGATACACATTGTGTTTAGCACTTGGGAGCAAGGGTTCTTGACCTTTTCCCGGCGTAGAGCCAAAATGTACTCTAGTAAATTGCTCGTGGCTTGTGTGATCCTCATCTTGTGTTGGTTGTGCGGCACCCTATTGAGGGTTTGGCGTGTGATGCGAATTAGCGCGTGAACCTCCAAGTGAGTGTATCACCAAAACGAGGAGTAGCTTGCCGGAAAGTAAGTGAACCTCGATAAAAAATCATTGTGTTCATCATTTGATTCCGAGATGATTGGTCTTCATTGGTATTCATTCTTGTGATTGATTGGTTCATTCCTCAATTCGGCGGTATAATCATCTTGCTATATCTCTTTACATTACCGCAAACTAGTTATTAAGCTCTTTAGTGTAGCTAGTCATGAGAGCTTATTAGTTTAGTTAGTGTGGCTCTTTAGTTAGCCTTTAAGAACACACTAACTTAGTGTAGCGATATAGCCATTGTGTGGATAAAGACTATACAAAATAGAATTGGGTAGGTGGCTTGCAACCCCTAGTACAGTGCTAGCGTAAAATTCGTTTCGTCATCTTATTAACTAATTATTTATTTTAGTGTTGTTGTAGAAATTTTAATAGGCTATTTACACTTGTAACCGTGAGGACCTTTGAAACCTCCTGGCTCCGCCACTGCTCTTGGTGCAATATGCGGTTAGGACCTTTCAAACCTCCTCTTGGTGCAATGTGCGGCTACCGTTGAGTTGTAATGTTCTTTTATTCTTCTTTGGTCTAGGCCTTATTATTTCCCTATCTCCTGTGTCCTGTACCTAAATAGGAGAACAACAGCATTGGCCCACACCAACGGAGCAACATCGGTCATTCCTTCGCAGCAACTCTCACCCGCATGAACGCAGGAACTCCCGTGCCTCTCCCTCTTTTGCTTTCCTGCTTCCATGTTCCATCAAATCTCCTGCTCCCCACTATCCCTTCCACTTCTCTGACCCACAATCCCTCCACTAATGCTACCGCCGTTCATGCGATTCAATCTCATCATGCCAGGCATTATCCGATCCAGTTGCTGGATGCTGAAGAAACTGCTCCGTCACAGAGCCATTATGTGTCGCTTGCACTTCACCTCCTACACCACTGCCTCAAATTCTTACGCTGCACCCAGCATGTCCGCATTTGAAACAGACAATCCAGTATTCCTTCTATATAAAATAAAGACCCAGGCCAGCGATGCTGCTGGGGCAGCGGCCGCAACCGGGGCTGGGAGATGCGTGTGCTGAGCGTCGGCGTGGTTGCGGAGCATGAGGTGAAGCCGTGAAGGATGAAGGGCGTGGTTCGAGCAGGAACTGGAGGAGGATGCAGCAGGCACCAGTATGTGGGAGATCCACCGCCTAGCGCTCGCCGTCTACCTCTGGACGCCGCCCACACTCCGCAGAGGACTTCGACCCCAAACAAGCGCTTGCTGTCATCTCCTCTCCACCGCCGCGGGGTGATGGCTCTTTAATCTGCTCTGGAGTCTAGATCAGGATGTTGACAAAAGAAGCTTGGACGGTAAATGCGGAGGTATGTATGCAAGTACTAATCCTTTTGTGGAGGCTGAGCGGCGGAAGCCGGAAGACACGATGAGAGAGGGAGATGAAATGAGTGGAGCAGAGCTGTCCACGCGTCGGCCAATTTTTTTTTTTTCTTTCTATTATGGTATATATACAACAGTTTACGAAGATGGATGGATCATGGATAAACGATAAAGTCCTGGTCCGGCAGCCTCCACTAATTACCTCTATTTCTACTCGAAAATATTCGTTTGCTTGGCACAAGCACATATGAGTTCCAGCGTCCGCCCTGTGATCTTTGCCTCTTGGTTAACGCAATCATGATATTATTTTAAGCGGCCCTATTTTTTTCTAATTTTTTTTTTAGTTTTTCATATCCTATTTTCTACCTAGATATTGATAAGTTTTTGCCGTTGTCTTTTAAAAAGTGGACCAATAAAATAGTTGTTATTATGTTATATCCACACTATTATTCATTGTTTATCTAAATTTATCCCTAAAATTCCATGGCACACTCTATGATATTGTTATTAGATAGCACTACTAATTATCCTGCATAAAATTCTTCTCATATAGAACACAACATAATTCCCGCAGCAACGCGCGGTGTATCATCCAGTTTTTTTAATAAAAATGATAGGTCCTAGTTAAAAAAATATTGTGTTGACATTCGGGATACATAAAATGTGAACGTTGCATTTGGACCGCCTGACTGTCAACCGGCCATAGACATTCAGAAATCTAGATCACGAAACGTGGTAGAAATGTGAAAACCAAGGTCTCGGGTAAATCGGTAATGCTTGAGTCAGGGATGGACGCTCCTTGACAAGCATGCGCACTACCACTACCAGCCCAACAGGCCTTCCTACTCTCTACGTCTCATCTCTCTAAAAAAATATCTCCCCACTCCACTCACCCATCGCTTGCTTCATCGCACCGTGCGGCCATCCGCTCGCCCCAATACGCATCGCCACCACGGCCACTCCTCGTGCGTGACCCCACCCTACGCCGCGTCACGCCAATCTTCCTCGCTGTCGTGGCCATCTCCCCGCGCACGCAACCATCATACGCCGCACCACCCACTCTGCCTGGTTGTCGCGGTCATCCCTCACCGCGCGGCCATCCACCGTCAAGCCGCCCACTTCGCCTGGCCGCCGCGACCATCCACCGCCATGCCCACTGCGCGCTCGCCTTTCGCGGCCATGGCATGCACCATGCCACCACCACTCCGACACCACCAGGCGAAAGCCGTCGCTCGTCTCCCGTGGTTGGTCAAAGACACCACGACATGAAGAAGTGCATGTTGCAAGAGTATGTTTCAAGTGTTTCAGATGTTTGAAATATATGTTGCAAGTGTTGCATATGGATGTTGCAAAAGTAGATCGTGATGTTTCACATGTTGCAAGGCTATAACGTATGTTGCAAGCATTTGTTTTGAAATGTTTCATCTGTTTTCAGACATATATTGTAAGGTTTTTATCTAGATGTTGCATATGTTTCACACAGATGTTGCAAGAGTTTGTTCGAAATGTTTCATCCATTTCAAACTCATGTTGCAGATATTTTATCTAGATGTTGCATATGTTACACACAGATGTTGCACGTGTTTGTCTCAAATATTTCATCTGTTTCAGACATATGTTGCAGCAAGGTTTTTTTGGTGCTGTAAGTGTTTTCATGTTTCAAGCATTGAATGGGACGGCCAGAGTCACACGACGCACATCCGCAGGCTGGGGTGCGAGTGCGATATGAGTGCGGGAAGCGGAACGGAAGCGTGCAGTCCCTATGTTTGAGCGGGTGGTCCAGGCAGGGCGAGGCATCCGAGCGATGCGGTCGCGGGAAACGGAGATGCACGCGACACTGGGTGCAGGCATGGGTGTCTGCCCGGACGTCCGGCCCTAGCATCTCCCAAGGTAAAATTAAAGTTGCGGTACAAGTGATGTGTTGTATTTGGGCTTCTTATTCTTACCTTAAGGTAGATTTGTACGACTTCTTTTATATTTATGAAAACATATGTGTGCGCTCTTATAAAAAAAATGTGCAAGGAGTCATTTGTTCTTTCCGTATTTTCCCATCATAATTGCAAAAGCCAATTGAAACGAACCATGCCCCTTGATCAAACAAAAAGACGGAGCTGGTGCAAATTCCCCATCCAATATAATGATTATAGGGTAACATTTTGCCACCAATCACAAACAAATCGATGGTGATGTGTACAAAGAGACCTTTGTTTACCCCATAAACTGGTTTGTTCTTCATACAGGTGACAGCCTGACAAGTCCAACGAGTGATCATCAGGACAAATATACTACACATTTTTGGATACTTGACAAAACCGAGACCTGATTGCTCACAAGTCGCAAGTGTTCTGCTGCCACAAAACAAAGGCACAGGCAGCAGTGCAGCAGCTCCTCTTCAGGCCTTGATACAACACTGGAAGTAGCTCAGGAACTTCTTCCCTCCCTGAATCAACAAATTTCTGATTAGGAACAAACCACATACATGGATCAAGGTTATGCTTATACGCAATAAAATGTCTGGTGCATAGTGAAGTAGACAACATGCGCACACAATTGAGGTTAGCGTGCAATTGTTTGAGGTTCAGTTAAATCGTACAATTCCATATCTGATGTAAATGCACTCGTGAGTGTGGCAGAAATTGGATTGTGATTCTCCATCATCACAAACAACAATGTAAGAAAAACATTATGAAGATACCAATAAACTGCTGCAAAATGTTCTAGGTTGTTGGCAAGTCTTGGTTTGATGCTTCTTCAATCATTTTGCTATTTATCACAGCTACAACCTGAGAGTTGCTTATCCCCTCAACTGGCTAAACCCATCATTAGTTTCCTTAAGATTCCCCTATGGACAAGGGCACATCAATACATCTGCGCAGCTTTCTAAAAGCATGTAGATATGGACAATATGATTAAGAAAATGAGAAGATTCGTCCTTGCCGATCAGTTATGACAAAGAATATAATGCATGAAGTCGGAATAGGTGGGGTTTTTGGCTTGACGCGTCCATTTACTGGACAACCTTGTTGGGACCTACTCTGATCCCAATTCGGGCAGCAGAAAGGACTCATGATGAAACTATCATCTAACTTGTTGAACCATATTTCAGTAGAACTCCTAATAATAGTTCATTCTAAATGGGAAGGGGATTTTGCACCATTCAAATATATTATTCGTCTAAACCTTGCATTCAGAAGAAGATCCAGATTTTTAACGCACACTGCTCTTGTGTCTACACCTTATTATAATTTACAGCATATGCATTTGAGGAATTATGAGGGAGCTGCAGTAATAAGCCCTTAGGATTCCATTATCTTCTTATTCTGTCCTCAGATTATGGAACAAAAGGTCATCCCTTAGTATTACCAGTTCCAAGCACTACCACATGGTCAGTTCCACCGTCCATGAAAAATTACCCGTGCTTTGGAATATGAGCTTGACCCTGAAATCTCACGCGGCTGCTATTGACTATAGGCTCCATTTCTAAACTAAACCAACAGAACCATTATGCCATTTCAGGAATCTGTTTCAGAAGGACAGCAGTAGGAAATCGAGCTTCTACAGACTGCAGCGATGCTGCCTACTGAAGTGGTGAGGTGACTTTACTATGTGTGGTAGTGGTAATGCTACATTCCAAAAAACTGGTTTCGCCGGTTGCAATTTTTTTGTCCACTGTCAGCTTTGCTAATCTGGCTCGTCCGGAGTCCGGACTAGTTCAGTTTATTTAAGTTTATACTTTTGTACTGCAGTCACTCACAATTAACAAGTTCAATCCTCGACACTAATTATTACCCCGCGCTTATAAAATTCAATTAAAATCAGACGAATCGAGATGTAATATGCTGAATTTCCACCCAAAAAAAGAAAGAAAAGATGCCTCAAGTTCGTTTAGTGATTCTGGAACGAAGCGGGACACGAAACGGAAGTTTACCGTTGGGGAGTGGTCGCGGGCGTGGAGCGGGCGGCGGCGGCGGTCGTCGGCGGGGCGGGGGCCGCCGACCTTGGGCTGGGCGTTGTTGGCCTGCGGCTTCTGGGCCTGGGCGTGGGCGAGGAGGTCGTCGTCGCCGCCGAGGCTGGCGCGGGAGAGCTCCTTCTTGTTCTGCTTGCGCATCTCGCGGATCTTGGAGAAGTCCATGGAGTAGTCCGGCAGCGCGCCGTTCTTCATGTCCCAGTCCCCGAACGCCGGCACCGTCATCCAGGCGTTGTCGGCGCCCGCCGCGTCGTGGCCCCGCTGCTGCACGCACCAACACGCACGGTGTGAGAAGGGCGAGCCGAACACATGCACGGACACGGATCGCTCGCAGCAGGAATCCGAGGCCGAGCAAGCTCGTCGAGAAGAGGAAACCAGGGAGGAAGCAAGAAAGGATTCAGGGAGGCAGAGATCGGTAGCTCTTACCTCCTTAAGGTTCTCCATGGATGGATGGATGATCCCTCCTCTGTCTCTCTGTGTCTCTCGTTCGCGTTGTCTTGCTGGGTCCGCGCGTGTCGGATGAATCTGTAGAGCAAATTGGGCACTGGGCAGTCACGCAGCAACAGTGTTGGACTTGTCTTCTTCGAGAGGCACGGGCAGCAGCTATCGCACGGTGTGGAGACGAGAGCAGAGGAGGGAGAGGACGACCTCCGCACTATATAGGGATTGGGATAGGGCTAGGATGACACGGCAAAGAAAATGCTAATCCAGCTGGTTTCGATCTAACAGTGGGTGCCCACTGTAGCCTTAGCCGCTAATCTTCCTGCAAAGCTCGCTCTTCGATCCGTTGCTCTGACTGCCCGTTGCGTCCGCGGAGGCGGGCGGTCACAGCTGGTGACTGCTGTGCTGTGGTGGAGCTAGCACTGCATTGATGATTGCCTGCCGATCTGGGCCCACCGACCCGTGAGTGGTGACTCACCCGGTCCGTCCTGGCCATCAGGCCATCAGGCCATGGCACGGCTTTTGCCTCCTCTCTGCAACTGCGAGCTGCCTTTTCGGGAGCAGAGGATGGTGATTGGTCGGCAGGAAAAATCTGCTGCGACTCCGTGTGGCCAGCTCGGCCGTGCCCCGAAAAGGAGAGGCACAATTCGGTGGATCGCCCGCCCGGCCTAACCGTCCTTGCCATTGTTGCCAATCGGAGGCGACAGGCAGCGTGAGTTCCTTCATCTTCCCTTGCATTTCTTTCAGGTGATCGATCCATCTTCCCGTGAAGCATGTCGACGCTGACGCAGGGGTTTCAGAGGTTCAGACAGCTGCCAAACTTCTCAGAGCCTCCAATCCATCGTGTTGTTGGTGCCAACTGCCAGCGTTCCCATCATACTACAATCATGAATTCATTCGTGATTAGCGTTAGAGGCTGGACGCGTTGGCAAAGTTTTCGTCGTATTAATTTCCCGGATACGCATACGGAATATGTGTATTCTGGAGTAGGCAGGCGTGCAAGAGTGTGGTGGACACCTGTGACCGTGTACGTAGCAGACTTTACAGTTCAGACTTTCAGAGTTTCGGTTCCAATGGCACTAGACTTTTGTACCTTCCTTTCCTTTCATACATGTCACAATAATTTGTATGCAGCTGTTGTTGGTTGAGAACAAAATATGCTGCACTACTAACAAAACTATATGTTCTACCTGATGCAATCATAGACATCAGACATCACAGGTACAGTTTTTTTTATCAAATCACAGGTACAGTTTTGATAAGTAGCGATATACACACACAAAAAAAGGATTTTTGAACAAGAGTTGGCAGTTGTGCAATGAACCGGTACAAACAAAATTGGCTGGTTGATCAACTGAAGCTGCGTCTCAACTCTCAACCAGTTGGGTAGTTAGGAAAAGTTTGGATTGGTTACTACAAGCAACATTCTTTTGTGCAGAAAACTGCTTTGGTTGGTACCACTCCGATGATAAACTGCTGATGCTGATTATGATGCCTCCTCTTCCAAAAGCTGCTGCAGCAGCACTTAGCCACCTAGGAAACAGCAGCAGCCCTGTGTTTGGGCCTCAACTAGTAGCCCAGTTGTGAGTTGTGACTACCTGATCTTTGAAACATTGATCATTTGGGCTAGTCGTTGTTTTTTGCTTGCAACTTGCAAGTGCTAATATAGGTGTGAAATGCACACGGGTGACAATGACAGGTAGGGCGCCTTTTTTTTACTGATGCTGTCAATGATTGACCAAGTAGGGCATGGAAGCACTTGGTTGATTGAGCACGTAGCGGGCACAAGCACCATCGACCGAGAACGGCAATCAGTTCAATTCACAGAAAAAATACAGTTTAGAAAAAAAAATCTATTGTTTCAAACAGTCTAAGTGGTAAAGAATCTTGCAGAATAAAATTCTACTATATATGTATTTATTTTTTTATTATTATTAAGAAAAAAATCAATTGGGGTACAAATAACAAAATGGCATAAATCTGAAGATTGCCAACGAAACAAGCAAGCGTTAGTGTATCTCTGACATTTCTTCTATCTTGAATTATTTACGACACGACGAGGATAATTTGACTTGATGCCAATACATAATCGGATAGCTGGTGTCCGGTGTATACACAAAAGGATGCTATTTGCCTAGAAGGAACAACCCCATTGTTTTCCTCTCGTCAGTCCCACAATAATGCCGGGACGTTTCAATTTCTCTGCAATTTCTTTGTCAGGTAGTCGACAGGTGGATCACCAGACAGTGAGAACGAAATGGTCAAGAGTTCTGAGTTGGTGGACGTCATGTTCAGAGTTTCAGACAGTAGCCGATGCCTATAATATTGTGTACAGCTTGTGAGCAAACTTACAACGCCTCCTCTATGTACATGTACTCCATTTTTAACACCGAATTGAGTGAAAATGACGAGAACCGAACTCCAACCTCCTAAATTCTAATTGTGTTGCGTGTTTAACGACGTCTTGTTGTAAATGGTAAAGAATTCAGAAACGAAGGAGAAACAGAGTTAAAGAAGCTGATGAGCAAACTTCACAAGGACCAAGTAGGCAAGTACTGCTATCCAAAGAACTGAAAGGCAGTCAGAAATGGCTATCAGCCATGTGTTTATACTTCACTTCAGTATTTCCAACAGTATCATTGTAAGAGACGTCCATCAATATGCACGTTAGCATAAGACGACGAAGAAAAAAAAAAAGAATTCTGATGAAAGAAACGTGGACGACGGAGCCGCTGCATCCAAGGAGATGGAGTTGGGCTCGGGCATGCCAGAGCCGGAGCAGAGGATCAATCAATCACGCGTCCTGGGCGTAGAAGTCGATGATCTCCTTGAGGTCGAGGTGCAGGATCTGGGAGACGGAGCGGGCGTCGCAGGCGAGCCAGAGGATGTGCTCGAAGAGGATGGCGTCGACGTCGACGAAGATGGCGCCGCCCCCGCGCTCCTCCTTGCGCGCCACCGTCTCCAGGAGCAGCCGGAACGGGTAGGAGTCGAGCACGAGGCGGTCCACCGCGAACGCCCGTCGCTCCTTCCCGACCACGACCGTCACCGTGGCCGGCGACGGCGGGGCCCCCGCCGCGTCGTCGTCGGCTGCCGCGGCGTCGAGGGAGCGGTAGCCGATGCGGGGCGGAGAGGCCGACGGCCACCGGAGGAAGACGCAGCAGCCGGCCATGGCGACGGCGCCTTTCTGCTGCTCCTCGGGATGGTTTCCGCGTGACGTGGCAGCTGAAATGTTTCTTGGGTCTCTTCTGGGTGGGTGTGCAAATGCAGAAAGGATTGGATGGAGCGAACTCGTTTATATGAGACGGCGGGTGCCGGGGAGGTTGAACGAACCGTTGGGGAGATTTTACAGAACAGGACCTAGTATCTACGGTAATCACCCAATGTATGTACGTTGCACGAGTGGTCTAGTTGTACTCGCGTCCGGGAGGGAATGCAATTCTAGCATAATGTTATAAATTAATATTCTAAGTTTGATTAATTATAAATAAAAAAATATTACTATTTATGATATTAAATAAGTATCATTAGATTGATTACAAAATATATTTTTATAATAAATTATTCTAGAGCTGTAAATGTGAATAGTATTCATTGTAAATTTGGTCTAATCTGAACCACTTTTGTTGGCACGTAATCCGTAGTTGCATTCCTTCGTGGACGGAGAAATAACTTATGACTATCTGATTCTTGGAAAGTAGAGGGTTTATATGAAAAGTGCTACCTCCATTGGATGCTAGCTTTGTCTTGGGATAGCCGTTGGGTACTGGGTTGGACCTGGCCATGCTGATTGCTGAGCAAGAGATCGTGGAAAAGGACAGGCCGCGGCGTATTTCCTGAACGGGACCACGTCTCCGTGTCTGCCACTCCGTTCCGCTGTCTCGCTCACTGGGGCTGGCTGGGGGCTTGGGGCTTGCCCGTCTCCGTCTGACTTGGCCCGTCGGCTCGGCCTCGGCTCATGCCCTCATCGAGTGTGTGTCTCACACTCTCTCTCACGTGTACTAGCAATTTGTACGCTGCCTGACTCATCTCCTTGACTCCATCGGCTGCTTGGCCGTAGAAAAGCACCGCCCGGGCATTAGCGTGTGCGACGCCGAGACAGACAGAGACGTGCGCTCCGCTCGGTTCCATCCACGCGGCTTGTTAGGTGGCGGCGTTCGCGCCACCGAGTGGCCGAACCGTGGTGACGACTGCGCCTGACACGGCGCGGAAGCGGCCGCTGCGGCTGTGGACCTGTGGTGGCGCCGTACGCGGTGCTAGTGCCGCGCGGGGAACACGTCGTGGTGGGCAAACGGTCCAGCCCAACGGAAGTTTCGCGCGCGCCGCCCGGATCACTGTCCGTCTCCTTATCGTGCTTGCAGGCTTGTGTACCAGCAGCAGGAGCCATCACCAACTCTGACAGGCCCCGTTTAGTCCCACCTAAAATCTAAAATTTTTTTAAGATTCTTCGTCACATCAAATCTTGCGGCGCATGCATGGAGCATTAAATGTAGGTAAAAAAAATAACTAATTGCACAGTTTGCCCGTAATTGGCGAGACGAATCTTTTAAGTCTAAATAGTCTATAATTGGACAATTTTTGTCAAATACAAACAAAAGTGCTACAGTAGCCAAAAGCAAAAAAAAAAAAAAACCGCATCTAAACGGGGCCTCTATATGCGTGTGTTCCTCTGAGAGTACGGGCGCAGCTGACGGATCGGTTCCTTTCCGTTGCTGTGGACTGTTTCTTCGTAAGGCTAACGCCCAAGCAGATGGCCAGCAGGCAGCAGATTTGTTTTTGGGAACTAGTATACTGTAGGTAGATTGGTCATCTGCACTTTTCTCTAAGGTGATTGCAACTTGTTTCTTTAGATTTTGTTTCATAGCTCCTTTTTCACTGGTGAAGTGATTTTTTTTAGCTTTACGAGCAGCTCTATCAATAGAGCTAAAACTGTGTGTTAATGAACGGTTTGACAAAACAATCCTACAATAGAGCTCTTTTAAAACATGCTCTTATAGAACCGTACAAAGGAGCCCACAAAAGCGTGTTTGAAGCATGAAAGAAACAACTATTTCCAGCTTCATCCCATGCCAATCTAACATGTTCTAAGGAGCTTCACATGTCAAGCTGTTTCAAAAATACGTACCTATTTGACAAAAAAAGCTTTAAACAACTCATGAAGTTGCTGGAAAAGTTGCGCCAAACAGAGCCTTAGTCGACGCCGGCCCTCAACGCACTGCAAAGGACTTCGCATTGGAACACAACAATAATCTAGACCCCCGGGCCCCAGCCCCTCCATAAAAGGGAAAACTTTGGAGCCCTAGATTCCATGGGCCACAAAATCCATCGGTTGTCTCGGGCGCACCGCCCCATGCCAAGGCAAGGAAAAAAGTCATTTTTGGCTCCTTAGACCCGCCCTGGCCCCTCCATAAAAAATGAAACATCATAGCCCTGGATTCCATGGGCCACAAAATCCACTGGCTGTCTTGAGTGCACTATCCATGCCACAACAAGGAAAAAGTCATTTTTGCCTCTTTAGACCGAATTTGGGACATGAGTTTTTTTTTGTGTTCATGCGTTATTTCAATAATTTTTGTGCAAATCCTATAAATTTCTTGCTTTCAAACAAGCCCTTAAACTGTCCTTGTAGTCTAGATCTTCTCAAATTCCAAAATCATACAATCACTTCAACTTTCAAAAATCCGTTTAAACACCTCTCTACCCCGGTTAGAAGTGATTTTTAATGTGCTTTTGTTATTTTTAGTTAAAAAAATTATGGCAAACATCATATTAGATTTTAAAACCACAAAATATATCTCTAGGCTTATTTATTTGAGAAAAACAATTGAGATAAATTGGGACATAATAATTCCAAAAACATAGGCATAGCTCGTAAATATTCCAAAAGCTTCAAGAATTATATTTATCTCCATAAATACGATAAAATATCCACAAAAATTTGAAAATTTCTAAAACCAGAGTATTTAATATCTGAATGCGTTAACAAGTATGAATGAATTCAAAAGCAATGCATGTGGCATTCATGTTTGCATCCCATGTTTTTGTTGTGGAAAAAAATTAAAACAAATTTATACATTGATTATAATGTTTTAGAAAAAAAATTTAGAGCTAAATATAATTTCCAAAAGATATATTTTCATAATTTACACTTTTTTATTTTAAATGTCACGCCTCAATCTATTTCTAGGATTTTCTTCAAATTTTTTTAAAAATAGAGATATTTTTCGTTGTTCAAAAATCTTATGAACTAATTTATTTATTTATTTAACTGAGGTAAAATTTGCTTTTATAAAGCATTATGAAGTGTTTATCGGTACGTTTGACTTAAAAATGATAAAATCACCCGCCTTAAGGATAAAATCACAATTTATCGATAACATAATTGGTAAAAAAAACATAGTTAGTTTTTTGGGAACTTAAAAAAATTGTGAGAGTTTTTTTAATGATAAATTGATTCTGAGAGTTTTTTTTAGAAACACCACACCCTTTATTGATTGAGTTGGTCATATACGAAATTCAAATGGCCTCGGGCGGAGCAAGCATTACAAAAGAGATGAACAACCTCGTCGGAGGGCTGCCTCCAACACGGCTCCACCATCCTTGGGCCTTTGGCCCAATTAATCTTGTCCTACGTGGGCCTCCAAGCATACATGGCTCTCTATCACGGTAGCGCTCATAGCAGTGAGGACCGTAGGAGCACTGGAGGAGGAAGGAGGTTCCGGACGGACGAGGATGACGACAGAAAGCTCTGATAATCAGTCATCACAATGGCAGCATCCTCCGCCCTGGGCTCTGCCAAAGCCCTAGCGTGCTCCCACGCCTCCCTCCTCGCGCCTCAAACCCAAAGAACAGGTACCTCCCCTCCTCGCGCGTTCTTTCTCGTAGGATTTTCTCTCCCTCCCATAGCGGCCATACGCATCGCAGGTCCTTCAATCCGGTCCGTGTCTCGCGAGTCGCGACTCCGTTCCGGGCATTTCAGTCTCTGCCCCCTCGATAATCCGTGTTCCGTCACTTTGCTGATGGTTTCTGCACTGCAATGCCTAGTACTATCTACTGAATATGAGCTGGGATTTTGATTCTCGTGTCGTGATGCAGTGGTCGCGTCAGCTCCGTCGCACCGCACTTCCGTCAGGATGCGCGCTTCTGCTGCTGCGCCGGCGGAGCCGAAGAAGACCGTCTGGGTGTGGACGGAGAGCCGGCAGGTGATGACGGCGGCCGTGGAGAGGGGGTGGAGCACTTTCCTCTTCGGATCCAAAGATCTCGGCAAGGATTGGTCATGTCAGAACTCAGAACAATGCTTTCCTTTATTTCACGCCGATTGTATTACGTGAACCTTTGCTGGTTCAGATAAACGTTGAGATAGCTTGAATCCCTGATTCAAATGTTACAATTTACAAATCCCAAAGGCCGATGCAGACTAATTTCACATAGAAAAGAAGAGTGAAAACATGTCTGGTGTCATGCTGGAAGGAACATGCAAACTTCTTAGATTCTGCTCATTTATTCTCTTTTGATTTTTCAGCAACTGCTCGCATCAATCCTCTCTTCATTGATGGCCCGGAGATTTTCAATGGGGAAAACCAAAAGGTTGCTGTAATTTCACAAGTCTCTTCGCCCAGTGAACTTGACCTTGTACAACCAGACAATGCCGAAGCCGAGAACATTGTCATAGACTTTCGAGGTGGTTGGCAGGTTAGACAACTGAACATTGCAGCATAAGCACCCACTCTTAAATCTTAATGGTCCCCTGTTCCATAGTAAGGAAATTACTTCAAAGTTCTAATAAATTATTAGAGATCGCTTACATGATGTTTGAATTTTCATAGTGACTTGAGATTGATTATCACATCACTACACTCTAGTTTTCTTTTTTATATTTCATCAAAGGTTTGTAATGAGTGTGTCTGTGTACATATATTCTTGTCTGACCAAGGGCTTCTGAACATGACTGCATAAACCTACCTTCTGACCAGCAGCTTCTGAAATGGTATTTTATTTATGCATTTCATAGGTTATACCGGCAGAAAATATAGTTGCTGCATTCCAAGGATGTAAAGGAACTGTATTGGCTGTTTCAACAAACTCAACTGAGGCACAAGTTTTTCTTGAGGTAATTATCCAGAGATTTCAACATATGACACCATCTCGTGCATATAATGCTGGTAGGTATATTGTTGTGGCCCTATTCGTTTCGCTGAAATTTGGCTTATGCTGATGCTTATGCTGAAATGCTGTGAGAGGAAAACACTCTTCGTTCGCTGAAAAGTACTGCTGAAATGCTGATGCTTATGTTGCATGAGGTCGTTTCATGTTCCAGACACTCATTTTGTAGGCCTTGGAGCAAGGGCTTGATGGAGTTGTACTTAAAGTAGATGAGATGGATGATATCATTAAGCTCAAGGTATTTATCACAACTCCTTTTGAAAGTCCTTTGTGCTTAACTACTAAACCCCTGCTAGTATATGACGGTCCTGTAGTATTGAACACCATTGTTGTACTATATTTATATGTAAGTGTACAAGAGCCTACTTCTTCCTACTGCTTATTGTTTATCTGATTGTACAATTCACCAGACATTTGTTTTCCTTCCCCTTTTAATGACTCAGGATTATTTTGACAGAAGGAACGAGGCAAAGAATCAATTACCATTGACAAAGGCTACTGTATCAAAGGTTGAGGTTGTTGGTATGGGTGATCGTGTTTGTGTGGATCTTTGCAGTATCATGCGACCTGGCGAAGGCCTTCTGGTTTGTGTATATCTCTCACCTCTTCACTGTTGCTACGCATAGAAAAAATGTTATAAAACTATTAAAATATCTCACCACGTTGGACCAGTTCAATGCACCCTCATGGATTTACCTTTCTGCATTACTACCTCTGTATCAACACATGGCATTTTCTTTGTTACTATTATCAACACAAGCATACAATTCTGCCTCTAAAGTCTTATGACATCCTATTTTTAGGTTGGATCCTATGCAAGAGGAATGTTTCTTGTTCATTCTGAATGCTTGGAGACTAACTACATTGCAAGCAGGCCTTTCAGAGTCAATGCAGTAAGTTTAAAACAAAATGGATGGCCGTATGTATTTAGTGTATCGCAACAGACCTAGACCTATAAGAGTGCTATTCGCCACTTTTAGGGTCCTGTACATGCATATGTCACCGTTCCTGGTGGCAAGACAAGCTACCTCTCAGAGTTGGGGTCAGGAAAGGAAGTCATCGTGGTCGATCAAAATGGGCTATGGCGTACTGCAATTGTGGGTCGTGTGAAGATTGAATCAAGGCCTCTCATCCTTGTAGAAGCAAAGGTACATAGAAAGGGTGTTCTTTGCTGCAAGTGTTATGTGTTTATCCATATACATGTCCATTTGATGGCCCGACTGGTTTCCTGCAGGATAACTCTGGAGATGACACGTATAGCATTTTTCTACAAAATGCAGAAACAGTTGCACTTATCACCCCCGACACAGGTAAACCCATTATGTTCAAATTCAAAATTGTTGGACCATAAATGCTCACTATCGCTCCAATGCTAGCATAGCTTACCAAGTCAACATTGAGTCTCCTTTCAATCAGCTTATTCGTGACCTATCGTCTGATGCCATGCAGGATCAAGTGGAAGAACCGCTATTCCTGTGACTTCGCTGAAAGTCGGTGATGAAGTTTTGGTGAGGAAACAGGGCGGCGCCCGTCACACTGGGATAGAGATTCAGGAGTTTATTGTTGAGAAATGAAAATAGATACGCTGAATGCACCTGTTACCTCAGGCAGAGATTCAGGAGTTTATTGTTGAGAAATGAAAATAGAAACGCTAAATGCACCTGTTACCTCATTACCTGCTACCAACTTTCACGTCATTTTGAACAAAAAATGATGTATGGTTGCAACATTCATCTATTCTGCTATTGATAGCTGTGCAACTCAATTGTGAAATTCCTTTGCAGCAAACAAAGAGATCAAGATATAGATGCCAGGTAGGGGAATTTCAGAAGAGTCACGACACAGGCCAATAATGAGTACCCATTGAACCAGGCCAGACAACTTATCATGGGTTGACATGGTCATATTCCCGTGTCATACACGATCTCCAAAACATGAGTAGAAGCAAAAGTTACAACACTGCTCAGTGCTCACTGCTTGAACCCACAAATATACAACCTACAGGGGCGTGGCCCCTAAGTCCAGTTCTAGTGCACTTGCGCAGTGCGATATCCTGCCAATGGGGATGCTGCTGCTGCTGTTCCAAGCGAGCGCCGTGGTGAAGGTTGAACTCTCATTGGCGATTTTGGGGTGGTGCTCATTGGTGATTTTGGGGCGGCATGTGAAGCTTTCCGTATGTCGACTAAAGGTGATGGTGAACCATATTTGGCATCTTGTAGAGGTTGAACTCTCATTGGCGATTTTGGGGTGGTGCTCATTGGTGATTTTGGGGCGGCGTGTGAAGCTTTCCGTATGTCAACTAATGGTGATGGTGAACCATATTTGGCATCTTGTAGCTGTTCCAGCTCTTCCAACACCTGCGACATAGGAGGCCGCAGCTTGGCATCACCGCAAATGCATTGCAAGGCAATGCTTGCAATGGCATTTGCGCCTTTTTTTGGATACTGTCCTCCCAGCTTTGTGTCCATGATACGGTATAGTCTGCGCTTGTCGCCCAAGTGAGGTCTGGCCCAGTCAACTAGGTTCTGCTCAAAGCCTGGTTTTGATTTATCTAGGGCCCTTCTTCCAGTGAGCAATTCAAGCAACACCACCCCAAAGCTATAGACATCTGCCTTTGCAGAGAGGCGGCCTGCAAAGATTCAAGCAACATAAGACTAAATAGATCCAGAAATAGCACTGTATATTACCTAAATCCAAGAGTAATATGCCACATGTTGCCACTATTACGAACAAAGTTGACTGGACTAATCTTGTTGACTGGAGTCTGGAGCATTCACTATATGAGGACTAATCTGATGTATCAAAGCGTTTAAGGAATTGAAGCACAAAATTGAACAAGTGCAATTGGCTCCAACTTAATTGAGATAAAAAAGAAATATAAATACACTTATTTGATGGCAGGACCCCACAATAATTTATTTTAGCTTAAACAAACACCCCTTTGTTATACCCCAGTATCACCTAAGGTGCTTTAGGTAGAAAATAAAACAATTAAGTGTCTTTAGCTATTGCAGTCCTAGGACCTATTATTGACATCACCCTTTAGAAGCTGAAGCCACAGACCAGAATAATGCACAACACTACCCCAATATTTCATAATTACGCGAGGAAAAAAATATCTAACCTGTTGCAATGTACTCTGGAGCTGCATATCCATGAGTACCCATGACTTGTGTGGATACATGGGTTTTATCCCCAGTTGGACCAGCTTTTGCCAAGCCAAAATCTGAAAGTTTTGCGTTGAATTCCTGCATTGAAACAAGGACAAAGCACAAGATAAAGGACCATTCAACAAGACAGACATGGTCGGCAATCAGAGTTAGATGTCTTGAATTCCTAATTAAGCTTACTGAATCGAGCAGAATATTTGATGCCTTGAAATCGCGATATATGACTTGGTTTTCAGCATCATGTAAAAATGACAAGCCCCTAGCGGCTCCAATAGCAACTTTGAGCCTTATTGCCCATGACAAAGGATCAGCGCCTCCTAAACAGTAGAAATATTGCATTGTTAAAGGGAATGACCAAGAAAGTTATAACTGGGACTTCACAAAGCAGAGCCATAGAGATGAAACACATACTTCTAAACAGATGGTTCTCCAAACTTCCCTTGGGCATAAATTCATACACCAGAAGCCGGTTATCACCATCTGAGCAATAACCAATGAGCTTAACAAGATTCTTGTGGTGAAGTTGGCCAAGGTAATCAACCTCTGTCTGCAGCAGCAAAAAAGTAAGAACAATCATGATTGATGAACAATGACAAATGTTCTAGGAGTAGGGAAAATGTAGAAGAGCTCCGAACCTACCAGCCATTCCTTGTGTCCTTGAAAACCTTCTGGTTTAAGCTTCTTCACAGCAACTACCATACCACTCCCTGGTCTTGAAGGAGCAAGCGTGTGTTCATCAATCCAACCTTTGTAGACATGCCCAAACCCTCCTTCCCCAAGAAGACTGTCCGGTCGGAAGTTCTTGGTTGCATTTTTCAGATCATTGAACGTGAATGCCTTCAAATTAGAAGATGACAAGATTTCACCTTCTGTCCGAGGAGTAGGAAGCTCACTTCGATCTCTCATTGATGGAAGAGTCAAAGTTGAACGAGTTGAGTTGCTCTTAATTGAGGAAGGGACTGATGACAAACTTGTCTTGCTGGTCACTTTTGATGGGTCTGATCTCTCAACAAGAAGCAAAGGAAAAATACGAATGAGAAAAACTTGATATCAATTATGAAGGTGTCATACTCATGAATTCTGGTACCAAAATATCGACAATTAAGTAAGTTATCTGGTATTGTAAACTCATTAGGCTATCAATTTGAGAGTAAACGTGTTCCAGGCTGATGACAAGTGGAAGTACTTGCCTATCTGGTGCTCTACCAAATTTGTGAACCTACTGCAATACAAAGGAGTAAAAATATGTCACAGAATTCCTACTGGATCCATAATAACCTCTCTTCCGTTTGCTAACATGAAATCAAAGTAATATAAAGCCTAATGTACCGATTTGCAAATGATGCCTGTGAAAGTGTTCCGACTGTTGCCTTTAAACCCTATGTCCCTATCCCTGTCTTATCCGACAGAAGTAACAAAGAGGAACAAAAGTAGAAAGGAAGGTGCTAACTAACTGCTAAGAACAAAAACTCTAGACCAAAATAGGTAATAGAACCGGACAAATATAGAGCGAAATAACTCTAGAGAGAGAAGCAGGGCACTCACAGGCAGCATTGTTCATGCTGTGATCTACCCGCGCCGTGGTGTCGATGCAATTCCCCATCTTTACTCTCTACCAATTCACCCACCGCCCATGCACTGTGCACCCAAACAAGAAACTATGTAGCCTCAGGATCCCCAGCTAGATCAGCTCAATCTTCCGTTTACATGACAGAACCGAGCAGGAAAAGATGGCCTCCCTTGGCTCGCAGCGCGAGAAGGCCAGTAAAGCAAGGAATCAAGAGGAAGAGAGACCTCAAGTGTGCCCAAAAGTCCAATCTTTGCAAGGTCTGGATGGAGCTCAGCCCTTAATTCGGGAGGAAAACCAGCAAGGTCGGTAGCCAGAGAGCCAAGAAACCAGCGTGCAAGAAGCAACCTGTCTAGTCTACCCCCGGCACCTCAAAAGTCAAATCAAAATCTCGACGCCCAACCAGGTCAGCTTCTCCTCCGAGCTGACCAACCGTGCGCCCCTAGCAAGAATCCAAGCTGCTGCTTTTTTTGCTGGTGGAAGAACCCCGCCCAGTGACCCACTCACTCCTGACGGGAAGGGAAGAAACCCTGTTGCCAGAACGGCGCCGCCGAGCCGCAGTAGGTGTCTGAGCTCACACCTCCAGTCAACACGAGGCCGCCGCCAAACCAGCCCTCACCGAGAACCGCACGGCCGGGGAGGTCGAGTCGGGGTGCGACCGGATCGCTTGACTTGGTGCTGGCTGGCTGGAGGGAGGCAGAGCAAGCAAGCAAAGCGGCGGACGGACGGACCGAAGCAGCCAGCCCACCACCGGCCGAGCTCAGGCGGTGAGGTGTGGAAGCTGCGAAAGGGAAGCGGTGGCTTCTTTGGCTTTTCCCTCCCTCTTGTGCGCTGCACGCTGCGCTCTGGGCGGGCGTGGAGATTTACGTATATACCGTTGAGTAGTGGTGGATTGCAGTTGCACTGCTCAGAGGTTCCAGTGTATCTTTCGTGATCTGTAGCACCAATCTTGGTCTGAACTGAACTTTACTAAAGCAAAGGAGTAGATCTTGGATAAAAATTGCGTGGTTTTGGACTCAAGTCATGCTCAAACCCAAATTGTTTTTTTTCCCAAAACGACGTGGATGCTCACATTGCTTATCATTCGACAATAGTGGATACACAAACATCGGTTACCCATGAAAATTTGGCATATGGAGACCCCTTTAAAGATAACAACGATTTATGTGGTATATAAAGAAAGAGGTATCTAAAAAAAGAGTCATCTTAACAAAAGACAATCTAGCTAAAATGAGTTGACAAGATAGCAAAATTTGCTACAAGTTGAAATATATTCATCATTTATTCTTTTAATGTTATTATGCTAATAATTTTTTTCTGGCGTGCCACTTATCTAGTTCAAGGTATTCGTCGGCTGATCAATTTTGAAGATTTAATTCAAAAATTTGTCAAAACAATTTAGACGGAAACAAAACTTACGGTTACTAGTAAGTATTACACAGTCATTTGTTGGTTAATATGGTTCACTTGGAATGGTTCGGTTTGTAACAAACGAAGTCCGAAAAAAGATTTCTTGGATGACTTATTCAAAACAACACATTGGCTACAATTATGACTTGGTTGCAGCGTATTGAGGACCAAATGGAGCCTATGATTTACGCGGGTCACCAACTAGATTGATTTTTAATATAAAACTCTTGGGTGTGCAAGACACTTTTGTATAATTATATTGTATTGAGTGTGGACTGATGCCTCTCCAAAGCCAGAGGCTCCGTTCCATTATTGTCGGGGACCAATACTAGGATATCTAAAGAGGAGCTAATAACTATCAATATTGATTCGTCTGAGCAGTCAAGAGCGCGACTACCGTCTCGTCCGACCCCTGAGGGTTGGCTCCGCCTCACTCGACACCAAGACCGCTGAAAGCTCTAGTTTGGTTTTGATGAATTGATGAAATCTTAAGTGCTAACCTAGTTCATCTAAGTGATCATGAGATAGGTAGCATTATTCCAAGCGGTGAAGCAACGGTGAAGATCATAATGATGGTGATGTCATGGTGATGATTAAATGCTTGGACTTGGAAAAGAAGAAAGAAGAAAACAAAAAAACTCAAGGCAAAGGTGAAATTGATAGGAGTTTTTCGGTTTAGTGAACAAAACACTTAACGAGTGTGATCACATTTAGGATCGATAGCCGTACTACAAGAGGGGTGAAACTCGTATCGAAATGCGGTTATCAAAGTAACACTAAATGCTCTAACTCATTGCATATGCATCTAGGATCTAGTGGAAAGCTAACACCCTTGAAGATGTTTAACTCATTGCATATGCATCTAAGATCTAGTGGAAAGCTAACACCCTTGAAGATGTTTGTGAAAATATGCTAACACCCATGCACAAGGTGATACACTTGGTGGTTGACATATTTGAGCAAGGGTGAAGAAGTTGGTGAATTGAAGGAGGTGTTTTTTCATTGTCAAACAGTGACCGGACGCTGAGTTCGAAGTGACCGGACTCAGGGTTCCAGCGTCCGGTCAATTATAAAAGAAGGTGGTACTCTTGGCCTGAGACCGGACGCAGGTGACCGAACTATGACTGAACACTATTCAGCTTTCGGTCCTGCTGATGTGGTGGCGCACAGAGAAGAGGGTGAGTGACTAGACACTGGGCGAGTCCGGTTGGGCGTGACCAGACGCGTCCGGTCGCGAAAAAATCGTCTCTAGAACCCTACCAGAAACGACCGGACTCTAGTGATGGAGCGTCCAGTCACTTTGAGCAGCGCGTCCGGTCACAACTTAACACGTGGCGCGAAGCAGTCTAGCCGTTAAGATCGGGCGCTCAACATTTGAAGCTGATGACACGTGGCGATCATCAGGTGACCGGACGTAGGGGTCCAACGTCCGGTCATCCTGATCGGACGATCTGGTCGCCCCGAGTTGGGCTGCAGTGATAGCCTAACGACTCTATTTCGTTAGGGGCTCTATTTAAAGGCATGTGGCCGGTTCTAGCTCACTCTCTTGATCATTTGCTTTGACATAGCAACCTTATGAGCTTAGCCAAAGCCCTCCCACTTATCTTCATCATTGATTCATCATCTTTGTGAGATTGAGAGAGAATCCAAGTGCACTGCTTGAGTGATTGCATCTAGAGGCACTTGGTGTTTGTGTTTCACTGTGGGGTTCACTTGTTACTCTTGGTGGTTGCCGCCACCTAGACGGCTTGAAGCAGCGAGGATCATCGAACGGAGGTTGGTGATTGTCTCCGACTCTGATCGAGCTGATTGTGAAGGGTCTTGTGCCTTACCCGGCGGAGCGTCGAAAGGTAACTCTAATGGATTGCTCATGTCATTGAGTTACCTCACTTGTGGGTAGGTTCTTGCGGTGTCCAATTATGTGGACGAGGTTCGTGCAACACCTTTTAGCCGCTGAACCACCAAATGTTGGTCGACACAACGGGGACTAGCGTGCCGGCAAGCACATGAACCTCGAGAGAAAAACATTGGTTGTCTCTTGCCCTTTGGTATTCTTCCGATGATTGAATTAGTATTCATCTTGTGATTGTGTCACTCCTCTATGCGATGGTATAATCACCTCACTTACTCATCTACATTCCCGCAAACTAGTTGTAGCAAGCTCTTTAGTGTAGCTAGAATTGAAAGCTTGCTTTATAGCTTAAGTTCATCTAGTGGAGTTCTTTAGTGTAGCAAGTGTGAGAGCTCTTAGTGAGTAGCGACTTAGTAAATTGTGTGTCTAGTGATCATAGTAACTAAAAGGATTAAGTCCAATTTTGGCCCCTCAACTATCTTGTTGGTCTAATTTTGACCCCCAACTACAAAACCGTCTGGTCTAGGAACCTCAAGTTTGAAAACCGTTCACTCTTAGCACCTAGACACGGTTGTGGCTATTTCATGCCGATGTGTACCACATAGACGCACGCACGGGAGGGATAAAACCCATGTATAAAACCCGGCGCCGACCGACGTCCCCTACCCACCCCGAGCCCCGCCTTCCCGCTCCGACCTCCACCTCGAGCCATGGCTAGCCACCTCTCGGACATCGACGCCGCGGGGTTCAAGATCTTCGACAAGGCGACGGTCAGCCACCTCCGCCATCGACGACGACGTTCCTTCCTCCTCCTCTGTCCCCGCCGCCGCCCTTATAGCAGCCGCCCGGGTTGGCACTGCGCGCATGCCACTGCAGGGGTGGAGAGCGATGAGGAGATACGGTTGGTGCCAGAGATGGGCGGTGCGTCGGCGTGGACCTCGTCGGGCGTGGGCGTGGATGAGCGCCCCAAGGAGGACGACAAGCAGGGGGTGCAGCCTCCGGTGGCCGGGAAGAAGCACGACCGCACTACGGGGGACAAGGAGTAGAACCGACTGAAGCGCCTGCTTCGGAACCACGTGTCCGCGCAGCAGCGTCGGGAGCGGAAGAAGGCGTACCTGATGGAGCTGGAGGCCAAGGCCAAGGACCTGGAGCTCCACAATGCCAAGCTCAAGCAGCGAGTGTCCACGCTCCAGAACGAGAACAACACGCTCCGCCAGGTGCTGCCTCACCTACCTCCATCCATCCCCCATTCGTTTCCGTAGTTCGATCTGAGCTCTGAAGCGTTCCTCTCGTTCTGAGTGATCGACCCCCTGGTGCTCCCTCCACGCAAATTCTAAAGAACACGATGGCGCACACGAGCAAGAGGAGTAGTGGCGGTGGCGGCAAGGGCGGAGACGGCGACAAGAAGCACCACTTCACCAAGAGTTGATGAGAATGGGAGAGAGACCTGGTCTGTGCTCGTGATCGCCTGATCCGACCATTGCTGGACGGCCGCTGTCACGCGAGTCGCCACTGTCGTGCCTCCGCGGCCGCGATGGTCGTGCCTCCGTAGGCTGCGGATCCACGCCGGTCGTGCCTTCACGCCTGAGATGGCCGCGCCTCTGCCTAGCCACGCTCGTCGTTGGCCCATCGCCTCACCGGCGACCAGCGGGCTCCGCATCGCGCAGGCTGTGGATCCGCTCCGGTCGTGCCTCCGCGCCCACACCGGCCGCGCCTTCGCCCAGTCGAGCTCGTTGTTGGCCTATCGCCTCATCGGTGACCAGCGGCCTCCGCG